CTGCAAGGAGATCGTGAATTGAGGGTTCAGCAGTATGCAATCACTCAGTTCTCGATCAACAGAGCTGATGTGCGACAGCTGCAGTGTCACATGCTGGCTCTAACTATGGGGATGAGTGTATATCACTCATCCCATAGTTCTCCTTTAAGGGCATTGTCTGAAATCTGACTTGGATCTTACAGTATAGGGTAGACCAACTTTAATTAAAGTATATCTAAAGCCAAAACAGAAAATGTAATACATTGCAGCTTACTAGTCCTTAGATGGGGTGTGACCTTCAGTTTTCTTTTTTTAGGATTTTTTTCCTATTATTTTCACCTAGTATCCCTGCAAATAACACACATCCCATCTCCAGAAGGCTGCACTTACTCCTCCACTGTATAGTGTATTATAAAGGATGTGATGATAGCCACGCAGGCTGGACATCAAGAATGTCTGCAATTGTTTATCACCATTACATAGGGGTTATGGGATTAGTGGTACATAAGCACTAAATCTCACAGAAAGCGAGAAGAACATTGCATTTCTTGCAAGATCAACAGGTATTTTCTGTACTTGTTGAAAATGTTCTGAGCCTGAAAAATAGATGTGAAGGCCTTGTAGGCAGCGATATATTACTTTTTGTTCTTGGGTTTAGTTAACTTTCAAGTAACTTGACATTATGTCACATTTCAAGGTGCACCCTTTTCAAATGCATTTCATAGGTTTTTCAAGTGCATTGATGTGAATGAATGGGAATTCATTGTAAATTCATGGCAAGTGCAGATCATGTATGCACAATACTGCAGATGTCTTTCAAGTACGTCTACCACAGCGACCTTGTAACAGACAATTTTTTTTTTTTTAGACATAACAAATGAATATTGAACACATCACGTCATATACAGATCAGGTGCATCTTAAAAAACAATAGATTTTTCCTAAACACACAGAAGAGCATGTGCTCCTGCACGTGTATTTTCACCTAGTGATGGCTACTTTATGATTGCCAGTGAATGTAGATTGCAAGAAACCAAGAAAAACTGTACTAGACAAATATGGATGCTACTATTAATGATTTATTTTAAGTCCAGGGCATGCTCATCCTAATGAGTCAGAGCCGTCTGCTGGATGGGACTCAGATGGCTTTGGTGGGAGATGGGGAAACTGTTAATTATCAGCTGGCCCTCATGATGCCCATACACTATACAATCTGATTATGCAATCTTCTGCAGACCTATCATTACCTATGTAGTACAAGGGCCTGCCTGATTTCATATACATTACATGGATTGTTTACATTCATCCTCATTAGGGATGCACCGATACTAGTATCGGTATTGGTGCCGATACCGAGTATTTGGGTGAGTACTCGTACTCGCCCAAATGCTCCGATACCTAGCACGAGTACTTCCTGTATCAGGAAGCCGGGCAGCACATCAGTACACGCTGCCCAGTTTCCTGATTGGCCAGGAAACGGCTCCATGCTCTCTCGTCACTTGTGATGAGAGAGCATGGAGCTGACTTTCCGGCCAATCAGGAAGCCGGGTAGCGTGTAATGACGCAGCGCCCGGCATTCTGATTGGCCCGGGAAGCCGGCGTCATGCTCCCTCGTCATCTCATGAATCATAATATTAAGAAAGTGACCTTAAAGCATTAGTTTGTATTGCTTTAGAAAAAATTTGACCTGTCCCTTTAAGAAAAAGGATCGGTAATTGGTATCTGCGAGTACTTGATCAAAAGTATCGGTACTCGTACTCTGTCTTAAAAAAGTGGTATCGGTGCATCCCTAATCCATATTACAACATAGTTTTGGTAATGCTAGAGGAGATTGTACAAAGATTGTACAATTAGAGGATGTTTAACCTGGACAAAGAATTTGTTCGGATTACAGAGGGTGAAGGATGCCAGGGTTACTGATGGTGTGGTTGGAGCTTGTGCAGCAGGCACCTCCAAAATACAGACCTTGCAATGATCTCACTACTACTTACCTGAAGGTGAGATAAGCCAAGGCAAAAACAATTACCCATTTTAGTAAGTAATTACAGGCCATGGTGGCTTGAAGTCAGAGCTCTCCGATTTGTGGGATTGAGATGGCTGCATTGGTTGGGTGGCAGATGACGTTGGTGTTTAAACTTAAACAACATTGGATGGCTGGGCCACAGGAGGGAAGGATGGATGAGCCATAGCATGAAATAATACCTCACCTGGATATAGGATCATCACTGACAAATATGGCAGAAAATGTTCCAGGCAAACCACAGTATGTTAGAAGGCCCATACTAAGAATGCTATCGGTAGATAGCCTTATACAGAAACATTCATGGTGTGGGTGGAGATGTGAGGTGAGTACTTTCATAGTTAAGAGAGTGGAATTACCTTTCATTTGGAAACTAGCAGGGAAAGAAAAAAGCATATGAAAGGATTGTGGTCAACTTCACAGAGGGCACAGCTTGCTGGAATCCATTAAGGAGCCCTGGTGAAAAGTCTGACATTTCTGGTATCTGAGTTGAAAGGCTGAGTTGAAAGGGAGCCAGAAAACTGGTGGATGATCCTAGCAGAAGTGGGTGATAGTGGCGCATTAAGGAGAGTATAAATAGAGCATAAAAATGTAAAAGAAAATCTACAAAAAAACTACAGGTGCTAGTTGACTGGTGTCAGAAGGCTCCGGTCATTTTGCTGCCATGCCAAGGAGACTGATCACTATGGTATCTACAAAAGAAAGATGGCTGCAGTGAACAGAAGCCATAGGAATGTGAAGGCTGAGACTCAGATAAAGTGATAGAGCAAAATCACAAAATGATAGATAATAAGATATATAGATAACTGTGTGCAGTATTTCCTGCAAGTCTCATTCCTTGGATAATTTGGAACAGGGCTAGGCCAAGGGGTAGGCAAAAGAGGCAGCCGCCTTAAGCACTTAACCAGGAGGGGGGTACATAAAGTGCAGGGCATGCAATCTATGCTTCTGAAGTTGTTACCAACACATGGGGAGAGTGCGTTGGCCTTTTTGTATGTTAACGGACCCTGTCCCAGCACTGCTTTGGAGTAAGAGTAGTCTGGTGTCAGTTAGTAGGTTGCAATAAGTGATGACCAAATTTGCCAAAATTTGATCCAACACGAGATTTTCAAATAAAAAATATATGCACTTGAATTCAAATGACATTAAACTTACAATGGAGTACCATCTTTGATGGCCACTTTCAGCCCTTTGGAGGGATGCTAGACAATCTATTGTCACCCAAAAGGAAAGGGAACCTCAAAGTTGTGGAGGACCCTTGTTAATGAAAAAAGAACTGAAACAAAATAGTGCAGTGGGAAGAGAGTACTGTTCAGAAGGCTTTTGAGGGTGACAAATAATTGGGTTTGGTGGATGCCTTAAAGATGTTATGGGTTGTTATGGAACCACCACAGTATTCAGGGACAGCATCAGAGTCATTCCTTCCAAACAGAGCAGGCACTGGGATAGCTGCTGGAGGGAGGATTTTTCTCTCACCTTCCTCCAACAGCAGATAGTGTCAGTGCAGACAGCAAGCAGGCAGTTCAGCAAAGACCTCCTTCTCAGTACGGGTGCCTGTTTGGGAGTGGGGGCGAACTGCTTTTTCCTGTGACCATCATGTGACAAATCTTATAACAGGAAGAAGTAGGAGGTTGCCTTTATTCCCAGGTGGGCACTGGTACGGAAGTCTGTAAATGCACAGAAGGTGGGCGAAAAACTCGGCCTTAGAGTCCCATTCTCTCCTTGAGAACCCACCCAGAGCCTCCGAGTCCTCCTCCCATCCTTCATCCCATTGACATCACCAAAGCTGCAGCAGTTCTTCTTCTCACCATCACACACACTGGGGTATTTTTTCTTTCTCGCTAACACATTGGTACATTTTTTTCCTCCCAATGACAATACCAACACTAGGGCACATTGTTCTATGGCAGTGTTACCCCCATATCTTGCCATGGCGCACTGTGTGCTCCGCTAATAAAACCTTCAATGTGCTGAAGCACCCTAAGTCCCTCATTTTTCACATGTCACCAATGTACGACAAGTGGACTTTCCATAATTTTCTATGGGGCCCATTCACACCTATGCATTACGTTGCTATGCAACTTGGGAAAAGGTGCCAGTGCTTCTTTTGGGGGGTATGGGGGTAAATGAAAAATGCATGAGCATGCGTTTCAGCAAATTTTCTCACAAAAAAAATCTGTCTGCTTCCCCTAGCAACGTCTACTTTAGCCAGGCCACGTGGGAAGATGGAACGAGCAGGCCACACTATGCTTGAAGTGGAAGAACTTAGATGGTTGGTGAGGGCAAGGACATTGCTGTTCAATCCCAGCGACCACAATTACAAGGAACCTGGGAGGAAATTGCCATTGAGGTTTATGCTGATTAGGATGGTTATGCTACTACTAGCTACTGTGGCTACTGCCAAACAGTGCACATCACTACTGCCAAAAAATGTCATAGTGGACATGACTCAAGAGTGCTTAGATAGCACAACACAGAACAAATGGGAAGCAGATGTGAGAAAGATGACACAGCAGATATTGCCCCGCCCCACCAAATATGCATTAAAAGTGCATTACATTACGCCAAAACGTGCTAGAAAATGCATGAATATGCACACACGTTAATGAAGGGTACTGCAACCATCCACATGCTGTGCACCCTGCCATTGGCTCAACCCCAATCCTAGGCTTACTGACTTCCAAAAGTCGCCGGATATGACAATAGTCTGCATTGGATCTCTGCTTGTCTTCATCAGACATGAATAATATCATAGGTAGCTGTGAAATAATGAGAGATTACAAGAGAATAACATATTTCTCTTTCTTTTCAGTAAATATATTCCCTGGTATAACAATACACACAGCTAAACACTACAAGCACGTGTGAGAATAATATTACTATGTGCAAAGCTACAGCTTATCACCAGCCCTTACTTTACAACACAGTGCTGCATTGATTGCGTATTAATAAAGATTATTGAAGAAAAAAAAACAACGGCAAACGCTGCCCCTAGTTGAGGCCAGCGGAAGTGACGTTTTCCCTTTTCCATCATGGCGGGCACAGGGGATCCCACATGGAGAGAAAGTGCAAGGGAGGAAGATGAAGACATGGAGGGGACCGAGAGTGAAGAAGAGGATGACGGAGATGAGATCATGGAGGAGAACGAAGAGGAAGATAAAGACGAAGGTCCCAAGAGAGTGTACCTACCCGGTGTGGAACCCCTGGATGAAGGAGAGGAGCTGGTGATGGACCATGATGCCTATATTCTCTATCACCAGGCGCAGACAGGTCAGGGGACATCACATAATTCATATAATGTCACCAGCAGTTGTCTGTATGATTGTCATGCTCGGCAGTCTAATGTTTTCCTGCCATGTGACGCTCCAGTTCAGGGACAGTGTCAGCTTTTGGAGGCTCCTTAACTGTGATCAGATTACAGTCTATGTAAAGCCAATCACTGAACTTTCATATATGGCTTGACATATTCAAGTTATATAAAAAGCAGGGCCGTCTTTAATACTGATTGGACCCTGGGCAAACAATTTCTTGGGCCGC